AAATGGGGATTTTCCATAGTTAACTGTTAGTTTACCAGAGGGTATTTGTAAGCATCTCAACCTCTAAAACTGAGAAAACTACAGGGCCCCACCACATGTGGTGGCTGAAAACTGCTGAAAAAATTGCCCCTAACACGAAGTACAGCAACAAAGTAAATCCTGGGATACATCATGTGTACCAAAAAAAAATCACCACTCTTCCAACTCTTATGTAAATCAATATAAACTATATAACTTGACCTTAAGTCTTAAGTTTTGCCCACTGCCAACTGTTCAGCCACTCCCCCGGTGTCCATGTGGTGGGCCACATCTGCGATGCAAGCGCGATAGGGATCGGTATTGATTCCACTCATCTCCTGCCACCGGGCGGAAGACACATCCTTCACGAATGCCATTACTAATATAGCCATTATTACTAATACCATCTGGTTATGACTAACATAGCCATGGAAAATCCCTTATAAATGGAGGTATCTAGCTGGGAAAATCATCTATAAATGGGCCATTTTCCATGGCTATGTTAAATAACCAGAGGGTATATATATATATTTACTAATATTAATCAACCATCCTTAGCCATTACCAATATTATCAACCATCCTTAATCCTTAGCCATTGTCACTAATCATTGGGTATATCACCATTATGATTGGTAACCTGGTCACTAACCTGAGAAGCTCTGCTATTTTAGGATAGTTATCCCAGTTATCCCTTTTACAATTCGCGCAAATTCCAGCGACGTCACGGCGTAAGGGTGGTAGAGATATCGAGGCATATCATGAAATATCTTACTTGTACCGTACCCCCATTATGGATGGTTGCTAGAACCACCAGCTAACCAGCATGGCTATCATAACCCGCTCATAGTCACAAATGGATAAGCACAAACCGGTGGCAAGAAATGTGACGATTCTGGGATTCACAAACTACTGATGAATTGGCTGTATATAGTATATATAATACATGCATATAACAATTCCCAAAAAGGAAGAACCGTAATTTTCCATTATTTTCATGGAACTTGACATTTCTATCTTTGTGGAGTTTGCTGAATAAAGCATAGTAAAGCTATATACATTCCAATCGCTTGGAGGACTTCCTGGCCATGTTTCTTTTCACCACTGGGATGTCACAACCATGGAAGTACAGCTTCTGGACGGCAGTTGCTCCGAACAATGACAGGATCGACCTAAACTGAGAGATTCGCCCAAGATTCACCATCATTTCTGGGTGGTCGGTCAATTTCGGTCGGCAGAAAAACATGGTTAAAAGTGATGATGGCCCGCGTTGCGCAGCAGTCCTTGATATCCATCATCTTGATGAACTCGCGGAAGAAGGGCACTTTCACCAGCCACTGCCAGTTCCTCAGGAAGTGTCACAAGAAGAGGTCAGAATCGTAAACTTCAACGTGCAGTCTTGGGGGAAAACAAAGGAAACGAATCAAAAATCAGCCTCTGAATCCTCATAGTCCTGGCGGAGGTTTCACTGTAATTTTGGTGGCTGGATGGCCCCTGCTGTCCGCAAACTATGAGCTCTAGAATGTTCTATCTGATATAGTTCACAGGCGAGAAAACACACTGAATAATTCACAATAAGTCCAAGACCTGCTATAAACCCAGGCAGCTGACAAATAGTCCAAGGTACATCAAGGTACTATACCATGATTCCATCCCCATTGTTTGGTGGTGAATGACCTGACTTGTGCACATGTTCATGCTTTGGTCTTATCCATTCCCTTTAGTAAAACTTCGTTCAGCACACATGAACCGCACCAAGGAACAACGTGATGGATACCTCAGCCTGCAGTTGAGGGCTCATGCCCCGAAGCAGCTTCTGATCTCTAGCCTTGAAGCTGGAGCGCAGCAGGGGGTGGGGTGATGGGGTGCGGAGGGGCGGAAGATGGAGCGGAACATGCTGGCAAGTTTTAGTATGTTCATGATGGTTCATGTGATGATGTTTTTTTTTGTCACTATGCATGGCTCATAAATGTTCATAGGCTTGGTAACTTGGTAGTAGGAAGTGCAGAAACATGAGTGGTACTAGTGCAAAGTCAACAACAAAATCGTAGTTGCAACAAACTATTAAAACAAAATAAAACCAAAACAAATTACTATAATTACTCAGGGAAACTGCACTGGATTCCACCATCTTCCAAGAATTGGGTTTGGAACTGGAACATATTTGTGAAACAATGTGCAAATGGCGGTTGCGACTCGTGATCGACATCCGCATATAACCATACCTGATCTTGTATGGATGCAAGAACAACGACAAATTGCGGCGATGAAAAAACAACCACCATAATCCAAAAATGGACCCAGCTGCATCCAAGAAACAAACTGGGCTTGATGTTTGTTGGATAAGAAGAAACTCCTCAACCGCCTTCTGAGTTCATGTGGTAAACCCTGCTCCTGCCAGCCGAAAAACAATTTTTAAACGGCTTTTGACTGGCGCGTATGTGTATACCTAGGCCTTCTGGCCGTAATTTCAGCCCGATGCTATTTATTGCTATTCAGGCTGGACATTTTAGCATGTTTTGAGTTCATCCTGTTAGGTTCCCGAAGCTTCAAACTCTGCATTTGGAACTTTTCGGGGATTGAAAATCATCATTTAGATCCTTCCATAGCTTCAAACTCTTTATTTGAAAGTGTTCGGAGCTTCGAATCTTCAATGAAACAAATGGTTTCAATATTTTGATCATTACTCTTTTGTAGTTTCTGAACTTACGCTCACTGGCTCATCAAATTACAGAGTCATCTCCTTAAAAAGTTCTTAACAAACTTGACTTGTTTCATATTTGTGCTATTGTTTAATGAGAAATCTACGTTATCTTTGGTTGCTAGCCTGTCAACTAATCTGATGTCATTTCAATGAAGCAACCTTCTATATCATTTCGCTCCATCATTGGTGCGGCCACTCTGCTCTCATCAAGCTGCTTAGGGTATTTAGTTGCAGTTCGAGACTAAAGAATTGTCATGTCTAAGTTGACTTCAAATAACCAACAATAGCGCCATGGCTTTCCAAAGTTCAGAACAAAAGATTGCAATGGATAACAAGGTGCAATGATTACTTCCGTTTCATGTGCATCACATAGGTTGGAACGTTTTACATGTGAGAAGAGTCACCTGCTGCATGCCCCTCCATGATTACTGTTAACTTGTGAGGTCATATACACTTGATTACAGAACCTGGATGAGTCATTGAGATCTACGCTCAAACACTTTGCTGAACTAGATGAAACAAGAATCAAATAAAGTTAAATAGGGATGTAGCAGGAACAAAGTAAACTACAATATGAAACACAACAAATCTTTCTAAAGCAAAGTGCCATGAATATAAACATCCCGGCGGAATTTTTACCGTCCGCATAATTAGCACAAATTCATGGTTTCGCCATAGCGAAACGTCAATTGTGATGCAAAAATAGGGGTCTCCGAACTTGAGGGTTTAACTTTTCCATCGACAAACCTCTCAGCGTTTTTTTTCTTCAAGAGGCCCGAAGTCGAATCAAGACAGTTGCTTGATGTACGCCGCAGTTGTCTTCAACAACTCGCGTGGGTTTTCCCAGCGCCATTGGAACGATCTGACATATCGAAATATTTCGCGATTCACTTTCATGGAGCCTTTTGTGGAGGGGATATTGTTTGGGACCGAATCCTTACACAATTTCCACCAGTGTGGAAGTTGCAGAAGAACTGGCAGTGGCGTAGCATCACGTATGTGTGGAAGTGCCAATGAACGTTAACATCCCACCCCACCCCACCCCACCCCAACGTAGCATCACGTATGTGTGGAAGTTGCAGAAGAACGGGCAGAGGCGTAGCATCACGTATGTGTGGAAGTTGCAGAAGAACGGGCAGTGGCGTAGCATCACGTATGTGTGGAAGTGCCAGTGAACGTTAACATCCCATCCACCCCACCCCACCCCAACGTAGCATCACGTATGTGTGGAAGTTGCAGAAGAACGGGCAGAGGCGTAGCATCACGTATGTGTGGAAGTTGCAGAAGAACGGGCAGTGGCGTAGCATCACGTATGTGTGGAAGTGCCAATGAACGTTAACATCCCACCCCACCCCACCCCATCAAAATCTATGCGGTTTGCTGGACGGTAAAAATTCCGTCAGCATAAACATGTATATGTAATACAAGCAACATAAACTGTCAAACAACAGCTAAAATTGCGTGAAACAAATGCCCTTACAGGGTATCACTCTCCATTTTCGTTGCATGTTTTGCCCGTGCATGGGTCAAAATTGGGGCAGCCCCCCACCCAGAAACTGGCATGATGTCGACGTACTCTGTTTGCCAATTGACCTATAACGTCAACACTGAAGTCGAAAAGTAACAGTTGACCGATTACATTAAAAAACCCAACAGTAGCGACATACATTGTGAACTTTGAAAGAACATCAAAACATAAAAACGCATTTACAGGATGTAGCTTGATGATGTTTGATGATGCTTTCCTGAAATTTTACAGATTTCCAACTCTTCTGTATGATTAACCAATCTATTTACAAAACCATCTTTTGGTATGTGACAGTGAAAACGTGAGCTCCTGCATCATCTTGTTCAATCCATTCATCATCTTGCGGAAGCCTCGGCGGCCATGGGGTCAGGGTCTCATGGACATGAAACATGTTTTTACTCACCGGATAGTCCTGTTGATTGTGCAGTTGTCAAATGTCATTTATTCTGAAGACGTACATTGAATAAACATGAAATTGATCTAATTACTCCACATGAATGCAATTCATAAATGCGTATCAATTCTCTACACTCATCTATACCCTTTATATAACCCCCGCAGCCCCTGACGAATCTTCGCCTCCCTGCCCCAAGGCCAGACTTAAGTCCCCGAGTCCCCGAGCTTTGCTTCTCGGCGTTCATGTCGGTCACGATGGCCCCAACTTCGCCCAGAATGTAGGCCCAGCAAAGTCCCGCCACCAACACGATGACTGTGCAGGTGATCCGTTCGAAGATGTTCCTGGGCTGGATGGTCGTCCAGTGGGGGGACTTCCAGAAAATTCAACCAAATGGTGTGCTTACATGTGTGCAATGCGTCGATGACCCACGGCATGGAGATGCTGGGCCTTCCCAGTTATGACGCCAGCTCATTACCGCCACGATGCTGTGGCCCGATGTCGCCGTAGCCCACCGACGTCATGGTGTAACTGCAAAAATAAAATGCCGCAGCGTAAATCCCTGGCCGCGAGCGGACAGTGCCATGGGGACCCGAAAAATCATTGCCCCTGACATGCTCCATAGGGGTAACCCCCTATGTAACAAAAGGGGGGGGCCGTGAACATGAGACACAGGATCATGTATACGCATACGATCTGTATGTAATACATCTATGTTTGTTAGTTGGCCCTGGTTTAGTATATAACAACTCAGTATATATATATATATATATTTAATACTATAAATATACTACATATACAAATAGCTGGTGAATTGAATTTGCCAAAGCGCTGATCTCGGACTCGTAGGTGTTGATGCCAAAGGTTCTGTCGATTTCAGCAATGCCGTCGATCCACTTGGGATAATAACCTGAAAATGGACCGAAGACTTGTTCTTTGCGTCGAAACACCATCCCTTTTCAGCAAATTGGGAATCCTGACCCCGGCCATCCCAGGCCCATTCCTATGATAATTTATGAATATGGTGAATGATTTCTGAGGATCCTTAGTCAACAAAACATAACAAAACCATATCTTCCTGCCCTGCTAGCGCACCAAAAATGTCACACCCAGCAGCTGTCGGCCAAATTCAAGGTCATGGCCCATAGGCAAGCCATCCAGTGACACACCTTGGCCCATGTCCCAGCGGATGGAAGAGAATGAAAACAGGAGTTGTAAAGAATAAAATCCAGTTTTCATTCGTGAAGACAGGTACCACATGGTACCACCTCATCTTTGGGAACTAAATTTAGGTTTCAAATCTCATGAGGAATAAAACCTCCAGTTCAAAGCGCTGTCCTGTCACTCTGATGCAAAGAATTAAAACTAGGTTCAATAGATGGAAAGGGTCCAGTCTATATGACCATGTATGATCTCAAGAAATAAATCAAAAATTAATTCTGTGTAACTCTTGTTTTAATCTTTTTCGATGGCCTCCCAAGGAGGTAGCTGCCATGGATGGACCCATTTTTGGATGGCCTCCCTATGAAAGATTTCAATAGATTATGGATTTCTGAAAATTCCAGCTGCCCAGCACCGAAACAAAATGAAACAAACATCTAATTCAATGAACATGCATACAGTGCCAACCATCGAGCCAATTTTCGCTGCAAACTCTTTGCAGGCACCTTGCTCTTGTCACCACTTTTGTCGACAAGGCACAAGAATTAAAATCAGAAGAAATCGGATGAGCGCCATCTGCTGATAAGGTATCGACAGGGCAACTTCCAGTTTGTGAATCCTCCGCTTGGGCCATGGGGTCGGAGATCATATGATTTTTGGGTGGGATAATTGATTAGGTGATTAGGTAATTTTCGGAATAGTGCTACGCGGCTATACGTGTACCACATTGGCTCTCACATGTTGGGTATTGTTTCCATATGCAATTTGTTCGAACCCTTTGGAGCTTCCCCCTCAACGGTGACCACCGCCAATAATGGATGGCTAAGCTTCGCACTTCTTAACGCTTGTTGCAGGTTAACAAACCCTATCCATAAGCCCAAATATCATTTTTGGGGGTAGCCTGGCTTAGAGGGGATTGGTTGAACCCGCATGGTAACAACAAGTATTGTCTATCAAAGTCAGCTGCATCCAAGGAACAGTTTGGAGGTTCGGAAGATTCGCATCAGTTTCCTAAGTGACTGCATTGGAAACTGACCCAGTAGCAGAGCGAAAAACACAGGACGCATGGCGCTCACAGAAATGCCTTCAACCCCTGCCATCTATATAACGCCGTTGTGTTTGAAGGTTGACTTTACCTTTCTGGGGATCTCCGATGTGCCAAACAAATCCAACAATGGAAACTTGCAAACCCACGACAGGATCAAGCACTGAAACAACCCTTTGAGCAACGAAGGTGTCAGTGAAGACTCTGGAGCACACCACTTATTCACATGAGTTTGTTCCCAATTTTCCTCCAGAATAGAGGCATCCGAATGCGCGCCCAATGGCACCCAAGCTTCAAAAGCCGCAAGACACGGACCACTTTGATGCCTTTGAATTCCTGACGGAATCCCCAAGAGAGCCAAACATTAGGCAAAATCTACAATATATTACATATACATCTAAAAAAATCAATTTCCTTTGGCAATCGATAAAAAAAACACATAACCCAAAAACCAAGTACGTCAAGTATTGCCCAACTTTACCAGCATCCATATCACTTTTATGTGGAATTTGCTCGTGAACAAACCATTCTGGGCAAACTACCATCATCATAATTAAGAAATCTGATCCAAGAATATTCACTTAGGCAACGATTCCCACCCAATTCTCAGCGCATTTCTTGTTTCTAGGACCCGACGACCACTGCCGCTCC